TGTAGATTTTGCCTATACCGAATATCTATAATTAACATTAACATTAGCACCATCATTAAAATCATCAGCAGCACCATATCATCAACAACAGGTGCCATGTACTTCGCCATAGCGGTCATTTTGTTTTACGGAATCAGTATCGCCATGCTGGTTGCCGCCTCCACGCTCAAGAGGAGCAGAACTGACTACGAATTGAAAGGTTGATTGATGTTTATGGGGTTTGCCATTTGCAACTTTTTGCAACAAGTTTTTTTTAAATTGCTTTGAAATAAAAATCTTTATTTCTGTGACTGAATGGTTTCTCAAGTCAGCAAAATGTTTTTAACGCACTTTGTCTTACGTTACGTAATTGTTGTGTCTGCCGAACAAAATATTAATAGGATAGTTGCGTTTGTTTATTAAAAATTTTTAATTGTTTTGTATTTAAATGACAAATTTTGATGTAGGGTTCCTAAGAAGCTACGCCCGCATTGAAGAAGAGAGGCGAACACGTGAGAAGCAGCTGGTTAGGTCCGTACTGCAACAACGAAATCTCCTCCATTTCCTGCCCGGATACAGTCTTGCCAACAATCCATCAAATTTTTTCTCCAAAATTGCCCGAAACGGGTCGGTTAGACGAGCATCACGAGCAAGCATTTCATCGACCGTTGCGAATTCCAAAAAGTCATCAATCGACAAATCTTCGTTGCTCGAAGTTATAACGGAAGAAAGAAGGAGAGCAAGCTTTCCCGACAAACGTGTAACGACATCTGTAGTGGAAAATTATTTGGGACCGGAGGTTAAAACTTTCCACAAAGCAGTGTCCTGTGCAGAAGTAGTTGCTGCAGGCGTCAGTAAGATGGCGAAATTGGACGCGGTGGTTATCTACAACAGGAACGTTCGAGGAGCTCGAGCGAGTTACGGGACGTCTACTGTTAATCACAAAGATGAAATTTATAGGAATCGATTGTTGAACAGGTCGAAGCGAAGAGGAGATTTTGTGGCAAATATGCCGACGGTATTTTCAAGCGATGCCGAATCACCAGGTGTAAATACCAACATTACCGTGCAAATACCCGACATAGGTATTATACCGACATCGACAACCACCATCAACTCATCGCCACCTTCAACACCCTTTCTTGATGAAACAAATTCAACAAATATTCAAAATGTTGCTAAGAAGGAAATTGCTCATCAAGCACAGCAACAATCCCAGCAATTGTTGGCACTGTCGCAACCGCAGCAACAAAAGCAACAACCGCAGCAGCCACAACAACAAAACCAACAAAATAAGCAACATCAAAAGCAGCCGCAACAATCAAAAACTGACAATAAACTGCCAAATATTATTCAACAGTTCACAGTTTCACAATCTACCAGCCAGCAACAAATTCAGTCGCAACAATCCAAGCAGCAACCTCCTCAACAATCAAAACAACAAACACAACAGTTGAAGCAACCACAAAATCAACGTATAAGCAGCAATAACAACAACAACAAACTTTTTCAACAACACCATCAAAACGCAATTAGCAAGAAACAACAACAGCAACAACAAAAACAACATAAACAAACCTCTAAAGTTCATCCGAACTTACCAACGGTCACGGTCGAGTTATTTGATGACGATCAGTTAGATTCGAAAACCGTTGCTGACTCCATGTTACAGCCATACGATTCAAAAATACAGCCAATGATGACGTCTAAACATTTGAATGATTTTGAAGACGTATCCACTGTTGCCAATAAAAGATTACTCTTCGGTCAAAACAAGTTCGTACCAAGGACAAATTCCGACCTCTGTTTGAAGAAAATCATCTCAAATAAACACTCATGTTGATTTACACTGAACAAACGTAAAAGTTTCATTTATAATTGTGAGAATAAACAGTTGTTGAATATTTGAAAAATAATATACAGAGTTTGTAAAAAAATAAATTAATATAATAATAAATTTATTTACTGAGATTATTATCATTATTATTATTATTAATTTTAATTTTATATAAAATTTTTTTCATAATGTGTAAAACAACGTACGAATGAAACAATTAGGCATGTTGTTACATGATGTCCAGGAACATTTTAAAATATGCGCAACTCCTAGCAATGCCGCTTTTGAAGAGCTAGGAACCTTCTCGAATGCACCTACTACTTACTACCAAAGTTCTAATCTCCCACATCCTACTAATTTTTAGATCTTTAAAATTTTCTATTTTTAACCTTTGTTGCTACCACATTCAAATCAGCTAATGGACATTGTCTGGTGTTTTCATCGTAAAAGACATTTTCGGGGTTTATTGGTGCTAAAATTCTGCAGATGTTTGTACGATTTTACTAAAAGATGCTTTAAAAATTCTCAGTGTGTTTTGTGTATCTGACTATTTTTTGGTATGATTTAAATATTCTTTCCAAGTCAAAATGCTACAACTAATTGACTTTACTGGTGTTCATAGGCAGAAGATAATATCTTGCCTTTAAAAGTTGTCTTTATTTTTGGTATTTAATTCACTTTTCAATATTCTTTTTTGTCGGAAATTTTTTTTACTCAATTAAGCATTCCTTGATTGTGTGTGTGTTAGTGTGTGTGTGTTAGTGTGTGTGTGTTAGTGTGTGTATGTGAGCATAATTACACACACGCATATGATTGAATACGCATTGAAAAACATATATAAGACAGACTAGTCACATATCATTTATTGAATTAATCTTTATCTCATTTTTTTTCGCAATCAGAGACGAGCTAATTTATTTAATATAATTACGTTATCTCCACCGAGCAGTGGTATTATACATTAATACAATTTGTTATCATTTATATTTAATTATATATTTTACTGAAAATTTAGTACTACAAATTGTAATATATCATTATTATAAACATAAATACAATTAAAATGACAAAATTTTTTTTTAAAATTAACATTTTCACCATGCATCAATATTTCGTTCGCAAATTTTTATTTTGTTTCAGTATTTTTATTTAGAGAAATGGACAAAGAGACTGCCTGTATTTTTTTTCATGAGAATAAAAAAAATAATAAAATTGATAAGATGATAATAATAGTGATAATAATAATTACCTTTAATGTTGTTATTACCAACGTCATCATCACATGCAAAGTTTGTGATGTCACATCATGTGATGCTTTTTTTTTAAATGTTTTGAAGTGTATATAAAAATTTTCACATTTACTGTATGCAAAATTGCGACACACAACACACAAACTCACACACACACCACACACACACGCACACACACACAAATGTTTTATTTGTAAATAGCTTCAGAAATATATATATGCTGGTAAAAGACCATAATTAATGCAGTAATTTATAAAATGTGCCAAATTTCTGGCGTTGGATAATTTTTTTCATCACATTTCTCAATAAACATAACGCCGAAGAAATAAAACATATTAACAAAGTAATTAGCTGGAACAAATAAGAGACATATCAATTAATAAAGAAGACAGTAAAATTAACAAAATCACTGATAACAATGAATGCAAATCACAAGAACAAAAAGAACAAAGGCCTGGGTTATACAAATTCCCTACATAAACTGCAACAAATACTAAGTTAAACAAATTCTCTTTGTTAACTGCAACAAGTGCTGAAGATGATTGAAATATCGAAATAGGTCCTAAACACTCGAGAATGGTTTGAAAAACTGTGCATCAGGGGTTGGCAAAGTTTTTGCTGTGAAGACCACATTGAGAACTATTTACCTTTGAAGGGCCGCATATGTACTTAAATAGCAAATTTTTTAGACCCAGAAAAATTTTTTTTTTTTAAATTTGTGGCTTCTTTTTTTGTTCATAATGTCTGGATGACGACCCTTTTTTTGACGAACAAGGCCACGCGGGCCACATAAAACAGCTTTGCGGGCCGTAGTTTTCCCACCCCTGCTGAATACTATTCTAACTTTAATAAAATAAAAAATGACGACAAGAATATGGTAAGAAATATTGAGAAATGTAATAAAAATCTATCCAACGCTAGAAATTTGGTAGATTTTTTAAATTACTGATATATATATATATATATATATATATATATATATCAACTCCCATAGATCATATATATATTCGATGTATATAGATATTCATGATAAATATTTATGGAAAATTAAAATTTTTTTCCAGTTTAGGGCCGCTGCAACCTACTGGACAAAAGTGACAGAGCACCGGGGTGACTAAGTTTAGATGATGGCTATTTTTTTTTAGTAATAGACAGTATTTTTCCAAATAATTTAAAAATTGAAATTGTAAAGTATATAAATTATTGTTAATCTATTTTTTATTAAAAATAATATTCAATCGAATTTGAAAATTGGAAAACAGTTAAATTATTATGTAATATGTATCTAATTTATTTATCTGGTAGATAGAGACCGGTAGGTTATTTTAAAAAATCTATGTATATATACATATATTAAATATTTTGGTGCTTCTTTGCTAGTTTCGCTTCATAATTGTTGTCAATTAATTATAATATTTATTCTAATAACAAATAAATAATCAAGATAACACACACACACACACACACACACACACACATCAAACACACAAACACACACAATATAAAAATATACAAAAATATAGAGGTATGAAAGATGTATGTATGTTTGTATACATACGCGTATAAACAGTAAAAGATTGTCATCGTCTGCTTTTATGTCAACAATTTTTTCTGTAAAAATTTTTTACTGAAACATTATGGTTTATACGTATAGGGAAAATTTTTTTGATGGATATTGATTTTTTTAATAAATTATTTCTATTTATTTTTTTATTTTGCAGTTTGATGAATTTACTGAAGGAAAGACCTAAATTTCAATTTAAGATCTGTTACATTTGCATCTGATGTGCTTTTAAAAAGTCGCATTAATATAATATAATCTAAAAAAATTTTTTTCTCTTGTATTTTATTCTCTTAAAAGTTATCTTGACTGACAGGTGAAAAGTTCAAGAAATTTCTGCGTGTGTGGTGACTATGTGCACATATCTACGTTATCAAATGGCATTTGTGTGTTTGTCTGTCCATGACCATAGGGACCATACACACGCCGCATACTCTATCTTTGACCTGACTAAAGATTTAGAAAGTGTAACAAAAGAATCTCTAAATAAATTTTTGAAGTGCCTATTAATCAAGCCTAAAATTGAGTTAAATTTATTTATTGTTGTATAAACATGTTTATGAAATTTCATTTCAAATTCAAACAAAACATCTAAATTTTTAACAACATCCAGATTATCCAGAGCCAAACAGTTAATTTTATAAGATGTATTAACAAAGGAAGCCCCCTATCTACTTTGAAACGATAAAATGTGTGGGTGCTTGTTTGCGTGTGTACTTGTATGATTGTTTGTATGGTGGTTTCTTAGTATAGGTGTCTTTGTATTTCTACTTGATTTTACATTTATTTCGATTTATTTGCTACAATGTTTAAAATTCTTCTTATGTCACGTGTGTGTGTATGTGTGTGTGTGTGTGTGTGTGTGTATGTGTGATGTATAAACTTGTGTTTTTTTGCTCATCTTTCTTTTTTACTTATTGATGAACGTATGCGTGGTTATTTATTTCATCTGCACCAATTCGAATCAGCTGAATATATGCGAATGCCTGTCAGTATGTGTGCGTGTGCTTGTTTGTCTGTGTGTATGTGTATCTGTGAAGATGTATACGTCTTTCACCGTATTACCCGAACACCAAAAACTAATTAATCAGTAAAATTTTTAAGTTTTAAATTAATTGCTCCATTTTTATCGTCAACGACTTTGAAGAAAACAAATTATAGCCATTGTCAAATAAACGGTTCTGAAAACAATTTTACAGAAATATAATTAATTACGAATAAAATTCATGACAAGACGTTGAAGGATTTAAAGAAAGATATTAACAACAAACATCGCGAGATAATTTATGATAGAAATACACTAATGCCTGACAAGTTTGCTCATATATATGTAGTGCCGAGTTGTTTGAATAAATTTCCTTCCAGTAAGGACGAACGTCGCATGTACGATGTAACGCATTTGTGCTGATCTTCTATTTAATATGTACAGCGTCTAATGAAGATATGTGGTTCAAAATGCATGGTACAATAATTTAATCGCAGGTGGTGGCTACCAATTTTTATACAACAGTCCCGTTCTGCTTTACTCTGCTCTTATTATTTTCATCATAATTTTTTCATTATTATCATAATTTCATCATCACCTCACCATCATCATCTCACCAACATCATCGTCATCATTAATATTTGTACTCATCATCATCATCACCATTATCACCATCGTCATCATCACCATTATCATCATTGTCGTTGTTGCATTGACATCGTTAAATTTAAAAATTTAATACATGTTAATAATTTGATCAGCACTGCTTCATTTTAAAACATCTCTTTATTTTTTTGCCAAACTTTAGCTTGCAACATACCATCCAAACAATAAAATATTGAAAAAAAAACAATTTTAATATTTTTGAAACCAAGAAATACAATATCTGACGTTAAAGTGGAAAAAAAGATTCCTGTGCTGCTTCACGGCCATCTATACATCTGACTAATTTTAACGATAGAGATTCATGATGCCGCTAATTACGTAGACATATGATCAAATGTTGGAAAATAACACTTGTACGTAAACCTTACAATTACTTATGATGTTTCCATGCAATGAAAAACAGTTAACAAAATGTAAGCCCTTTATGAAGAGTTCAGCGATAAATTATATTACTGAACTAAGTTTTATATATTTTTTCAAAAAAGGTCGTTAAAATGACAACTATTCAACAAAGTGATCAACCAAACATTCAACCAACTACTCAAACAGCTGGTCAACCATAAAAACAACCAAACGCGTCAATCACATAACTCAAAAGAAATGACCAAAATCACGACCAACCAAAATCCTTACCAGCAAATTAACGTAATAACTTTCAATTTTGAAAGCCTATAAACCCGTCATAAAACTGCCATTAAAAGTTCGGTAAGTGAGATAAAAATAAAAACAATCAGCCGAAGAGTTTCATGGTTCGAAAATGACCCCTTAACAGCGATAAATTATCGAACGCCATCCATCAGCCTCTCCATAAAACGCCCCACCTACCTGCTTGATCATAAAATTCTTTAAACGATTGCCAACAGCACGTACATACATCCGCAAATAATAATCATAAGCAAGCATATTTACATATAAAGATATCGAAAATGTATCAATTTTTTTAATTTTTTCAGTCAAAATGAACGATTGAACCGCAACTTATTTTTCATTTTATTTGATTCCTACTAAATGCAACTTATACTTTCAACATTCAAAATTTCCATCGTTTGATACCTTATATGTTACTTTCCTGCGCTTATCATGGTTTAATTTACAGAATAAATAAAAAATTTCTTAAGAGAAGGTGTGATGGTTGATTGCTGAGTCAGTCCCATTATAGGATAATTCCAAACATTTCCATTTACGTCAGCTATCCCCATTTTCCACTTTTTTCCATGTTGTAATCATCATCGTCGTCAACAACAACAGCATCATCATCATCATCATCATCATCGTCATCAACGTCACCAACAACAACAACATCTTCATCATCATCATTATATTTATTACACTCAGTGTTATCGTTTTAATTACTTTGGCGTTATTATAGTATTACATTTTAATCATTAACATAATCACAATGTTTGCACGCACACGCACGCACACGCAAACACACACGCTCGCACACACGAACTCACATGCAGTGATGTTTATTTGAAATGTACACGTATAGATGATGAAAAAAATCACATAAATAAATGAATGAATAAGCACACATGTGCCCAGTGCGACATACGCACAATGCGAGTGAAGATGTTTTTCTGAATCACATAACACGTCAAAATATCCTGAAACATAATAATCTATCGTTAATTGCCTCTGCTATACTACCAGCTCAGCTTGCTTACTTTCTACTTTCTTTAGCTGTAAGGAAGAACTTTTTATCTTAATTAGTTATCAATAAAAGCAAACGCACATACACTCACACACCACACGCGCACACATACACACACACACACACATATACCACACACACACACACGCACACACATATATATATATTTATATGTGTGTGTGTGTGAGTGAGTGTCTGATATATATATATATATATATAACATACAATGTAATATATTTATTAAATAATTTACGTAGATAGCAAGCAGTCTTTTAAAATTGGTAAGAAGTGAATGTGATGTGTTGTTTAAATTGTTTCACCAAGCGGCTCAATTGTTAAACAAATTATTTGTTTGTTGCTTACTTGAAATTCTGGTTTTAAAATTGGATCGAATCAGAAGTAAGCTTTGAGGTTTTGTTAATTTAATATTAATTCATTTGCATTTTGTCATTAATTATTTTCTGTTACATGTGTCAAATTTGACATGACATTCAACTCTACAATAGAATCATGATTTTATTTTAATAAATTAGTTTTAGTAGACAAACTTTGGTAAATCGTCAATGATAGTGATTAGGTATTGGTTGTTGTTATCATTTTTATCGGAATTACTCGCATTTTGTTTGACAGCGCGTTTCAAAACTTTTCCTACGTTCGAAAGGGTGATTACAATTACTAAATTGTTGTTTGTGATTAGTTTTTTTATGGTAATAATTTTTTGAGTGAAATGTTTGTTGATGAATGAACGATTTATAGGAATGTCATTCGTAGAGCGAACATTCGAGTTCATATACATACACATACATACATGTGCATACATTCTTTCTGACCATCCCCGTCTTATTAGTTATTAAGATTCGCTAAAAATTGTATACGGAAGTTAACATGAAAAAATTACATAGCCTAACGATTTTGAATGTGTACATGACACATTGTGTGTATTACTACTACTGTGTAGCACCTTAGAATTGAACTAAATTCTGACCAATAGGAGGAGAGGATGTCAGTCCACGAAGTTGTTCATCACGGTTGGCTCATTAAATCACCACAAAACGCTGGGGAAGATGGAGGTGCTGCGACAATTTTTAAAAAGGTTTTTTATCGCGGGTCGTTTTGCCGCGTTTTTTAAATGTAGGCCTTTAAATTTTAGGTTATGAAATTTAAAAACATGTGTACAATCATTTAAAAATCATTTGATTTTAACTTAGTTTTCTTTTAGCATTATTGCAAAAATATATTTTTTTAATGGTATTTGCAACTAAATTTTAATTTAATTTTTCTAACTTGATGAAACAAATTTACAAGAAATGGAAGCAGAGATACTTTGTTCTAACTTACATAGCTCCTCTCCAAAGTCATACATTGAAGAATGAAAAGCATAAAAACAAAAAGGACAAAAACCATCAGAACAACAACTTTTCTGATGCTGCATCATCCGTGGTTTCCATGAACCCTACAAAATCAGCTGACATGGACTTCAACAACAACCAGCCCAACAATAACTTGTCATCGTACGACTTACTCACACACAAAAACAAAAAGAACACTTTGAATTTAAATTTCAACAGCAGTAGCAGTTATGAACTCAATGATGGTACGCAGAATATTGGTAGGGCATATTCGGTCGGAAATGTCAACAAAATAAGTGGAAAATCCGAAATAACGAACCACAGGTGCAAACAACAAATATTAATTAGGATTGTTTCGCAACATTTTATAATTGTATTTAAAGTTTTCTTTTTGCAACTGTTTTGTTTTTGTTTTTTTATTTCTGCCAAAGTAATTATTTTTGTTCGTTAAAACAATGCTAATGAATAAATGACTAAAAATGAAATTTTCGAAACCAGAGCTGAACTGACATACTATGCCGACGAACTTATGACAAAAAAGCTGGGTAGCGTCGACTTGGAAAACTGTGAGGAGGTTCTCAGTCATTTGAAGTCCAACACT